ATTCTGTAAGCCGCCCACACGCCACGCGGGACCGACAGATGCGCTGTGCGAAAATTGCGCAGTTTCCACGGTACAGAACTGAGAGACCGATTCCGATTCCGATCCTGCGGAACGAAAATGTCGGATTTACAAATGTTGCGGTGACGTGCTTCTTATTTATTACACAATTCCTCGAATGCAATCGGAAAGGATACATTTCTTGATTTCAATTCGATGAACAAATAACGTTACAATCAATATATTACATACATACAACCAGGGTGTCCCAGAATTCAACGTCAAGTCAAAAATGATTGGTAATATTGATCGTAGCTATCAAGAAAAAAATTAGAAAAACATTTGTATTCGGTAGTTAGACAATTATGATCTTTTAAGTACAGACCAGAGCATTGGTCAAACTGAGACTATTTCTTGTTTGTTTTTGGATTAAACTTTTGAACCGTAACCGTGAATGACATTTCTAAGACCACACACCAATACAATGACATAATTTCCCCAAGTTTTCACAAATTAACACATTATGCATGTTGTTAACACTACAAATTTGTAAGGAATTTGCAAGATATTTACTCATTACCTTTCAAATTTTAATGGCTTAATGTTCTTTCAGTCAAAACTTAAGGAAACTATTTGAACCATATTCATAATATTTCTGTATCAGTTTTCTAACTGGGGCTCGCCTGTAGGTAAGCGGTTAAGAGCGACGGGACTTGTTTCAGAGGTCCCGGGTTCGATACCCACTTCGAGCAGCCTGTTGTCAGGCAACAGTAATAACGATTTTCACTTGGAAATATAGATAGCAATATGTTTCCAAGTAAAAATAGCCCTCACCCAGCATTGTTGCACCATACTTGCCCTATTACAGAGATTGTAATAAAAATTTAGCATACAGAGATGTGACAACTGTTTGGGTTGCCATCTGTAATAAAGCAAACGTAGTTTGTAAGATATTAATCACAACAGCTCATAGAACCCATAAGTTCTGATCGCTGTTCAAATAAAAAGTTTTCTAACTGAACAAAATTTTCACAAAAAATCACAAATTTATAGCATGATGCAGTGCAGCTTAGGTTATAAATTGTCTTATTTGCAATTTATTCGCCAATAGGTAGGATCATTGAAATCAATGCTTTTTATCATTATTTTTCATTCAAATTCTCATCCAGACCTCTAATTGCACTAAATGCAAGAGCAATTCTGGTATTGGCCGTGCGAAAAAATTATTAGTTTTTAAGGTAAATTGGTTTTAATTTCAAAACTGTTTTTTTCTGAATTTGGAATTTGACTTTAATTTTATCTAATATTCTGAAGCTCACTTATATATGTAAGTACTTGAAATAATTAAAGTTAACATTGTATTTCAATTTATATAATTTTTACTGTTACTACATGTTAATTATTTAGCAGTTGTAACAAATATAGTAATTAAAAAAAATTATATAATTTTTAAAAATATAAGATAAGGTACTTTTTTCCATGAGTTTGATTGGATTTTGTTTGCATATATTTCATACAATCGTCGTGACCTAATTTATAAGCTTTTTGGTCTATAAAATACAAATAATAAAAGTTACAGTATTCATAATATTTATCTGAAAACATTCAAAACAATTGTTATCAACCAATGATCAATTTTTGTTGATTACTGATGATTTTTATTCCTCGAATATTAAATGTCATTTACCACTAGTTAGATACATGTGCTGCATCCACCTCCCTGAATTACTTATAAGGGATACTGCAAAGTTCAACCATCTCATCGATATCAAATATTGAAGAAGTTCAGATGATAGTTTTTCAATAGAAAACTTCTCAAGTGATATTTTGTATATATGCCATAAGTCAAGAATACTTTCAAGATAAGATTGTAAGGATACATCATTTTATTGAAAAATAATGCCACTTCAGAAATTTAAAGTTATGTGTGTTTGAAATGTCAAGCAAACTTTATATCAAGTAAAGTAAAGGATATCTGTATGATATTCTAATACTTTCAGTTATGGGCAAAACATATTTGATATTTATACATTTTGTAGTAACTGTATGTCATAGAAATATGATAGTATTTAGAACAACCGTAATTTAAAAATAAAATTGAGTAAAAGTTGAGAACAACAGTATACTTATTTTATGGTTTATTAAATTTCAATTTAACCGTATACATAGTTTAACCAGATATATAGTATATCATTGCGAATTAATATCCGTATTTACAGAAACTATTATTCCCATATAATTCAAATAAAGTGCATATGTTCAAAATATGGTTGTTATTTGCAAACTGCAATTAAATCAGTCGTGACACTTTATAAAGTAATTAAATACAATATTGCAAAGCATAATAGTGCGAGTGTACAATGCATTATGCAACTACCAAACAAATATTTTATTTGATTTTGATAGTATGTTAGGTACACACTTCTAAATAATTGAAGCGCACATAATAAAATGCAATGTAATAATAATTTTAATGGCTGCCTGGAAAATGGATTGGCATTCGATTTAGACATTTTTTAAGTACGACCAAAAATTTGCTAATGTTCAGAATGTAATAAGCGCAAATATATATAAAAATTGCATTCATTTCAAAAAATTTCATAATTACTCAAGTCATAGGCTTTAGTAATCAGAAAAAATACATAAAATTAAATCTTTAATAAAAACATGCAAATATTCTAAAGTATATTTTTTTATATTGGTACTCGATGATAAAGTTATTTTACCGACAGTTAGTGTGCATACCTAGTTATTCCTTGGCAAATTTATTCTATTTTCCAAATAATTTTCTATTGTGTACAATTGTTTGTATTACGTATATGCAATGCAGTATTCGAGAATGAAATGCAAATTCCGCCTGATATAATATTGTTCAAGAACGCAGAAATTCATTTTTGCAATGCATGAGTACAGTCACATCAGACAGGGATTTAGTGCACTTTTTCATATGTAATGTATAAGAATCAATGTTTCATATGTAATATATAAGAAAATTTAATGCAATTTGATAATGGGATTTATACCCACCGCGTTTTAGATTGCTTCAATGCATCAATTAACCTGCGAATTACTTATAGTGTATTTTATTACATATTTATTTTAACTTTCAAATTGAATTTCAATTAAAATTAGAAATTCAATTCAAATTAATTAAGTAAGAATAGTAATTTAATAAAACAAGATGATCAAAAATATTTTCCCAACTGCAAATAAAATATTGGTCTGAAAGTGCCTAAAAGGCTAATTTGTATTTTGTGTGTATATTAGGGAGCCAATTCTGTCATAAAATAGACCATAGCTTTGCCATAACATTGGTTTATTTTAAGGCAGAATCGGCCCCTAAATTTCACAAATAAAATAAATTTAGTATATTTATTTTCAAGGTTATCTTGAGGTAGTTACCACATAAAATAAAATTTAAAAAATTTTGTATGTTTTTAAAAGTCTTGTAGATTTTACCTTCTATTCCAGTTCATGTCTGCGTAATAAGATTTTGACTAAATAATAATTTACGTGTTGTCTCTTAAGTAATAAAGATTTCACAACAAACTCTTACCCTTCAATTTCCGTATCGGTGCGCAAATTGATGGCACCTTAATGAAACTTTCAAAACCATTCTCGTTAATAGGAAGACGTCAATATAATTAAGTGTACTTCTCGAGGACTTTTTCAACATAGCAATAAAAATGGAGATATTAGAAACACTCAAGTAACACTAACATCTAAACCAATATAATATAAAAGTAAAGATCATTTTATGTGGCTGGCAATAAATTGCGTCAAATCAACAAGATTTAACATCAGAGTTTATGGGTCTCAAATTTGTTTTTTAAATCTCAACAAAATTTATTGCACTTTGCACATTCATCAAAATAAAATATTAATTTTATAAAATTTCTTTTTTATATTTACCTCATGGTCATGTGGTTTCCTGGAAAATATTTTTAATCTTGTAGTAAATAACAGTCTTGTAGATCGTACATGTCATAATTATTTTAATTCAAGTTTCTTTACACAAACTAATTTTCACTGCAAAAAACAAGCATGAATTATTAATCTACATAAAGAATAAATGCGGCATATGACTAACTTACATTGAAAATAAATATTAATTCTAAATTTAAACTAAATTCAACTGGCTTTTGCTGTACAATAGAGGCAATATGTGATGAATTCTGTAATATTTAATCTTATATATTATTATACTAAAGTTAAACTGAGAATTATAGTATAAAATCTATATAATAAGTATGCTATCACGAGATGAGCTTTCTCATTAATCTAAATTTTAAATTTTTGCATAATTTTTGTAAAATTATACTGCATACCTAACAGCACAAATTTAGATATTAATTAGAACACATGAATTTAACTACTAAAGTAACTAGTAAACTTAGAATTAATTCACTTTTGTATATATTTTTTCAATATGAGAATACATACTTGGTAACGTTTTCAATGAATAACAACAACTGAAACCTTTCGTAAATTTTTGGGTACTAAACCTCAAAATTTTGTTCTTGAAGTGTGCCAGAGAATGAAGTGTATTCATGTATATTTTGTTATTGAGAGAAATTAGTAGATTAGTTGAATATAAACTTATTTCGCATTTTTAAAAAAAACGTTGCATGATTAAAAAAATATTTCCATGTTAAAAAAAATGCATATTTAGAAAATAATTGTAAATTTTCACAGACAATTAAAATTTTAAAAATAAATAGTATACCTAAAATTTTAATTTTAAGCATGATTAATTTGTTTTTATTTAAAATCAATTTTGTTAGCTAAGCAATATAGATTTCAACATTATTTTTTTATTTTCACCCTTTAAATATTTATTTTGGGGCATAATGAAAAAGCATAATTTGGCTGTCAACGTAATGAAATTGTTGATTTAGGAAATGTAATTAATTTTTAGTTTATTGTATAAGTGATTCTTAGAATCATAATACCTTAAAAAACGTTTGTAAAGTATTCAAATTTCCCAAACTCTTGATTCATCTGCAAATATCTGCTGCGGTTTCAGCATTGTTCTAATTCTCACTTCTTTCAAAACTATTTTCAATTTGCCTAACTATTCTACTAATAGAACTGAGAACTATTTTCCAGGTACTAATACAATATACGATAAAATTACTTGCTTATACAGTACGAGTTCGTGATGTAAAAGCTAATCCTCCTCGAAGAGATTGCGCCCTTCTATGGCGTCCTTTTCCTGGAAATCCTTTGGCATATGGAGGTTTTGCGTTGGTTGTCACATAATAGATTCCTCGTGCTCTATAATACATATATGTGTATTAATACTAGATACATGATATTAAAGTACGTATTGTGGAAAATATTTGAATTGGCGACGTATGTCCTCGGATGCTGCAGAATGGAAATTGAGAAAGAAATTTATATGATATGGAATTACTATTTGATTGAATATATTTTCAATAATTTTGAACAACGTATGATGTATGTTAGTTCAGAAATTAATGAATACTGCAACGATAGAATATATATATAATTGATATATGAAAATGATCAATGATTTGAATCATTGAAGACAAAGGCCCAAAAATGTTTGACATTAGGCTGTCCGAGGCAAGTATCCAATTTTGGACTTCTGATTAGAATCCCATAGCTCTGACCACTACTACATAGAATTGTAAACTGTACAAATTCCATATATGTATATTCTTACTACATGTTGCTGCATATTTTCAACTTAATAGTCTTACAAGCTGTTGTGCTAATTTTACCTAATACTAGTTGGTTCGACAGGTGGCAACCCAAACAGTTGTCCCATCTCTGTAAGATATATTATTAATACAATTTCTATAATAGGGCAAATACTTCTATTGGTATAGCAATGCCGCATGAGAGGTGTTTTTACTTAGAAACATATTGCTTTCTATATTTCTTTTTAAAATGTTACTACTTGGCAACAGGCTGTTTTAGGATCGAACCCGGGACCTCTGATTCAAGTCCACTCCTCCTAGCCAACTTACCTACAAGCATGCCAACTCACAGCATGTATTTTCAACTTAATTTAATCTCTCAATATTTCTAAGTGAATTTCTTACAGCTGCTATTTATTTTTATCTTACGTAATAAGAATCGTAAACAGCATACTCAATCATTTCCTATTCATCGAGTATGCACATACAGCAAATAAGAGACTTACTTATGTGATATGTGTTCTCCCATTAGGACATATTCATCATCCTTCGGTTCGCACCATCCGATTAGATAAGAGATCAGATTGGCACAAGGCCCGGCCCAGAAGCCTTTCGGACTGTTGATGCTTTCGATGAAATAAGGTGTTACTTTTGTGTGGTCGCACGATAATGTCTCTGAGGGGGAAAAAATTATAAAATATGTTATGTCAAGATAAATTTTCTCAAATATCCCCAGAAGATTTAAAATAATAAACCCATTAGATTTAGCATAGTCAATATATCAGACCTGTATCTTTTTCCAATTTATGTTAAAAGTTTTATGTCAAAACAGTTATTATTTTATAACAGCTCAGTGCCATTATATTAAAACAGCTACTATTCTATTTAGGTTCCAAAATTATGATACAATCTCAGTTTTCTGGAATTATAAGTAAAACTAATTGTTAAACCATAAATTTAGAATTTTCAAAATTGGTCTACTTTGAACAAACCTCCTGCGAAAAAAATGTACTAATGTGCATTGGCAAGTTTCACCAAGTTGTCTTAGATGTTATGTATAAATAAAAATATATAATTCAATTTTTATTTCATAAAAATAGTAATTCTACAGTTTCTTACTAAAAAGTGTCGTGCTGGCACATCCCGGTTGACTAGATCCCCCATTAACATAAAAATCCGCATGACCTGTTGGACCCCATTGTCCTAGAATACCGGCGCCAGTGTGAATGACATCTACAAAATTGGCATCGGTTGGATCCAAATCCAGAGATCTGTTGTTACCCATGTAAAAAATAATTGTTGGATCTAGACCTAAAAATAGCATATATTTACTTGTAACATATTGCAGCAAATTACACTGTCATTATCAAAAAAAATCATTGACTTCAGAATTATCATAATTCTTATGAATACTGATATGTCTATAAAAATAGTGGAAATCTGAAAGTGACTATAATTTATTGATATTAATACCTGTGATGCGCCCTAGTTTTCCTTTATTCATATGATTTGGCACCAATCCCGCAATATGCGCACCAACACTATAACCTATTAAATGCAATCTGTCGGGCTGAACACCATTAGGGTGGTATTGAAGATACCTAAATTATAAGTAACATATTTAAAACATAATATGAATAATTGATTTGTGAATGTCTCTTAATCTTAAAACTATTATCAACTGAATAGTTAACCATAATATCAAATATTTACTTGACTAGTTGGGCGATACATTGACTGGCGAATCTGGGTGCCCAGGCCATTTGACTTAAACAGGGCTCAACTACGGCACTACCATAGTCTACAATAAAAATGTTGTATTCTCCACGTTTGAAATATGCATTTCGCATATCAGTGCTGGGAGAAAGATTTCTGCCACCGCCAAAACCGTGGATCACAATCTGCAAAAAAATTAAGTGTTATACTTGTACTAAACATGTAATGTTTAATGTGCTAAACAACAAATTAAGCAATTTACAAAACTTAGTTTTGGATAATACAATATCAAAAAGTATACTTATTGTAATTTGAAAATGAAGGATTTTTATAAAAACTACACAAATACCGGTAGATACTTGATCATCACATAATTCAACTTATGGCTTTAATTATAACAGGATGACCCATTTAACAGTATATTATTTATGAACAATAAAATTGACACAAAATTGATGAAATAATTTAATTTGATATTTATATATCATAGCGTAATTATATAAATAATTTATATATCATAGCATAATTATATAAATTTTAATGAAAATTATAGCAATATTCAAAAGTACATTCCAGCACAAATATATTTGAAAGAGGTTTTTATGCATAAATGTGAAATGTGCGTCACTATTGCGTGTGGTTTATTATAATCCAATGCACTTCATATATATGGTTTCAACATTCATAACAATACAGTAATAAAAGCCGTAACTCAAATGAAGAATAAAATTATTAGAAACTCTATAAATCTATATAATAGTCCTTGCACAATACTTTTCATCAAGAACTACCATTTCTAACAATATTGATTGACGTGTTTATATGTTCTACAAGATGTATTGGATTCAATCACAGATTTCCGTGTAATTTATTCGTATTGATTGATAATCGAGGAAAGTTCAAGAAACTGTATAATTTTATTGCATGTAGGTGTACGTGCTCAATCAGAATGGATAATAATAATTCCTGATTGTTGCTAAAATTGAGGTAGAAAAAAATATGTCTTTTACATCCTTCTTACTTTACCTTGACAGGGTGAGTTGGATTGAAATGTGAGTTGGTAAGTGAACTTTTGTCTAAAACATTGATGAATTCTGGTTCCTGTTGGGTGGATCTTGTGTAAAGGTACATCTGAATTCGAGGATGAGGACATGTGAACGGTGGTTCCAGACATGAAGTCGTGTTGAAGAGATCTCGTATGGATTGCGCTTTTTGAGGCGTTTCTGGCTTGGAGCTGGTTGCTGGGATGCAGGCGGGCTTTTGCTGTCTTTGTTGTCTTTGGCAGTCTGGAGATAAAATATTGAGTTAATAAAAAAAATTGGAATTTAATTAAAGGTAATAATTTATGAACAATTCATTGAATTGTGCTAGTTGTTTCTAAATAGTATTACATACTATATGTACATACACACATATACGACACACATACACACACATACATACATTTTTCATAATGCCTGAAATGAAAGATATGTGAACATTTTCATTTTCGATTTTTGCGATTACTATACTACTTAACGGAAAGTTAATAAAATATTTTCAATTTATTCTAAACAAACACAATAAGAGTTTATATATAATAACAA